TGAAAATAAGATCTCAAAGAGAGATGTACACACCCATGTTTACTGCAGCATTATTCACCATAGCCGAAGGGTGGAAGCCACCCAAGTGTCCTTCGATGGATGGATGGATAAAGAAACTGTAATCTGTACATACAGTGGAACAGTATTCAGCCTTAAAAAAGGAACAAAATCCTTTCAAATGCTACAACATGGATGAACCTTGAGGACATTATGCTAAGTGAAATAAGCTAGTCACAAAAAATACTATGTAATTCTACTTATATGAGGTATCTAAAGTAATCAAACTCATAGAAATAGAAAGCAGAATGAGGGTTGCCAGGGCTGGAGGGGGAGAAGAGGTTGTTGACCAATGGGTCTACAGTTGCAGTTTTGCAAGATGAAAAAGTTCTAGAGATCTGTTGCACAACAATATGAATACAGTTAACACTACTGAACTGTGTACTTAAAAATGGTTACGGTGGTAAATCTTATGGTATGTGTTTTTTACCACAAGTAAAATATTTATGTGCACATGTTAAACATACACATACCATACAATCCAGTCATTCCACTCCTGGGTGTTTACCCAAGAGAGACGACAGCATGTGCCCATACAAACACTTAGGCATGAGTGTTCATGGCAGCTTTGTTAGTAATAGCCCAAATCTGGAAACAACAGGTGAGTGGATAAACGAGCTATGGTATATTCCTACAATGGCGTGGAATGAAAAAGGAATGAACTACTTATACATGCAATAACATGAATGAATCTTACACTAATTACGCAGAGTCAAAGAATTCAGATAAAAAAGAGTTCACACTGTAACTTTCTATTTATCAAAAACTTCAGAAAACCCAGCTTAATCTATGACGACAGAAAGCAGATCAGGGATTGCTCGGGGACGGGTGTGAAGGACGGCGGGGAGGGATCATAAAAAGGCATGAGGGACTCTGGGGATGATGGAGTGTTTACTGTCTTGATTATCATAATGGTTTCACGGGGGCGTGGGGGGAGAGAGAGAGAGGGAGAGAGAAAATCTATCAAATTGTGAGGAGGAGGAAAGGAAGGAAGGAAGAGACAAAGGAGGGAAGGAGGAGGGAGGGAGGTCTGGCCGGCGGATGTTTTAGACACGACAT